AATCCCAGGCTCATTGAACAGAATTTTGATTGGATTCCCAGTGTGACACCTTATTTTAAAATGCATCTTCAATACCTAACTACTTAATGAGCCAGTGGTTATAGACTAGAAGCTACTAGTTAAGTTCTTTATGATGTTTTCCCCCTAATTTTGGAAAAACAGCAAGTTATTGAACCTCCATTTCTATTTTTCTTCATTTTGGAAAATTAGTCTCTGCAGCCTAGGATCAAGTCCAGACCTTGGATGCACACTTTGCTCAGTGCTCTCCAAAGCTTTCACTGTCTGTGCTGGACACTGGATGGGAGGGAGGACAGGAGAGGGCTGTGCTCCTCCCCCACCCGTGACCACCTCTCTCTCCCAGGTGTGCACACAGTGAAAGAGGCATGCCTCTGGTCAGTCTGAGTTTTTCTATTTTAATGGAGTAGATGAAAAGTTGTCCTCTCTGTCTTTTCTCTCTTCCTCCCTTTTATAAGGCACCCTCTCTCCTATTTTTTGCCCCCTTTCTTTTCTTAGAATGTTTCTACCTTCTGAATATAAAATACTGGATTTACTTTTCTAAATTAGGTGAAGGGGATAGTGTGGCTGACCATGTTTAGAAAGCATTGTGTGAGTTCTCTCCTGAGGGGGAGACAATCACCTGATCCAGCTACTGCTCTTACTGCTTTTCTGTAATGCCTGTGAGTTTTCTAACTGCTGGTCAGGGGACAGAGAGACAGAGGCCTCTGCCATGAAGCAGAGAAGGTAGTTGGCTCCTCCTCAATATCTTAGCTTCAGTAACACCATGTTGCAGCCAATTGAGCTAACTAGGTATACTTGTTAGAAGAAAGATTGTGCCTTTGTGGAGAATTATGCCAAAATTTCTGCTTCAACCCCCCAGCAACAGGCTCTTTGGGTGTCTTCAGTGAAAGACCATTTGGGAAATAGACTATACAGGCAGCAAATGGGATTTCGTTAAATGGTGACATTTGTTTCCAAAGTGTATCAGAGGGAAAGCTAAGCTCTTGAGAGCATGTGTTCATTAGAGATTTGAAGTGGGGTGGGAAGCAATAAAAAAAAAAAAAGGCCAGTGGGTTCTCTTGTGAGATAGTTTTTTGTTCTTATGAATTGAATACACACTGAAAAGTTTCAAAAAGAGACTGGGAAGAATGTATTTGCTTTGATCCAACATGTGGAGGGTTCCTTACTGCAAATACCCTTTAATTTGGAGACATTGTTGAAAAGTCTATTTGAAAGTACAAAAAAATATAATATGTAAATAAGCTCTAATTAGTTATTTCAATTAATTATTTTTTGTCTCTACGTTACAGCTCTGTTTTTCTCCCCAGAGTGTCGGTTGTCAGAATCTAGTTGGCACCCTCCAAAAAATGTGTTTTTCTAACAGTCATTATTAAGAAAACACATTTTCCCCCTGTTGAAAAACCTCACAGTGATTAAGTGAAATCCCAGATTGTGTATCTTTATGGGGATTGTTTCAGAGATTTTCAGTCCATGATTTGCTGGTATGATATGTAAGAAGGAACTCTTGCAGTTAATTGAAAGAACGGGTGTTTCCGTCTTCAAATAAATGGTATGTGTTGTATTTTAGAAAATACATCAGGCCACTAGCTAACTAATCTTCTTTTCTGATCATCCCATGGATTTCAATGACAAATACATTGGATTTGGATACTAAAAGTTTTAATTTTTTCAAGTTAAATAAGATGCTTCTCAGTGGGCACAATGAATGCTATGGAAAAATACTGGTAAAATGAACTTGGGTTATTTCTACATAGCAAATTTTTGGAAATTGACTAAGAACCTGAAATGTTGATTTTGGAAGTCTAGAAAGTAAAATATGTGACAAATTATGAGCTTTTCACAGAGCAGTCAGTCTCCACACCCTCTGTACTTTTTTTTTAGTAGAATCAAAATTTAGAGCTTGGAGGAACCTTTGCAGTCACTTCAAAGTCAGGGAACAATTCTTAGCCTTTACCCACAGAGTCTCTGATAGTAATTGGGTTAGAAATGCAGATTCCTGGGCCTTACCTCAGCTCTATAGAATCACAATTCCCTGGGAGGAACTCTACATTTTTCACAACTATCTCCAGAAAATTTTGATGCTCACCAAATTTGGCAAACTTCTGATTTGGGCTAAGCCCTTCATTTTTCAGTGAGCAAAGCAGGTCTGGAGAGTTTGCTGGTTTGGCACTCAGTGTCCTAGGCAGGGACAAACTCAGGCTTCCTGACTCTAGACCTACCACGCTTGTCTACAAACCGAGACTCTCAAGTAGTCCCAAGCATACAGATAGGTCCATCCATACCTAATTCTGAGTCCTTAGAGGTGAGTTCAGCACCCATAATAGGAAAGCAAGGTTCTAAATAAGGTATGACAAGAGAGGGTTAAAGGTAGGAGTTTATGTTCTGATGTTTTTGTCTAAACTAAAACCTAAATAAAACTTCACCGTGTACTTTCAGGCTTGCTTTTTTATGAGCCTAAACTTTGCAAAGTAGTGAGGATGTTTATCTCATTTGGTTAACTCAAGCAATTGAACCCCCAGTTTATTAGGCTTTGACCTGTGTGCCTGGTTGATATAAACATCTTTGGGCTGTAATGTGCTTTCTTACAATGAATACTTGTGTATTTTAGTATTATCCATGTTTGTTGTACCCAGAAAATTATAATGAAGTCATTAACAATTGTAGCCTGATAACTGAGCAGTTCCTACAAAAGCATATTTAAAGCATCCAACAGATGCTTACTGATGTTTATTATATTCAAAATAAAGACAACCAACAAGCTAAATTAATCTAAATTTTTTTTTGGAGTGTTCTACAATGAGAATTTAAGCTGTAATGGTGAACCTGAATTTCTGCAAGATCATGATTGCTTTCCAAATCATTAGGAGAGACTGAATTTTATTCAGCATCATTTCAGTGTTATTTGAGAGTCTACTAATTTTTGGAAACAGTAATGACCCAATATCAAGGATATGTCCAAATCCACTGAACTCTGTTCCACATTCCATGTATTATCACACGGTCATGTAGAATTCTTAAAATGGGCAGCATATTTTCATAGGGATATTAACAGACATGGACTGCTGTGAGAGTCAGATGATTAGGTTAGGGGAATCAGCTATAGAATAGCTAGAGCAAATGAAGACTTCTTTATATGTATGTGAGTATAGGTGTAACAAGCAATATTTAGTTGATCACCCATTCAACATAAGCATTTATTGATGGTATAGAAAGTATAAAACTATTTTTAGTGCTGAGGACAAAATATCAACCTGAAGTTTCCAGCATGATCCTGGCTGGACAAGTACATACAAAGGCAGAGTGGTTTAAGGAGGCTTGTGCTAAATGCCAAATGTCACTGAGGGCAGCAAATGGCATCCAGCCTTCCAGCCTGTGAGGAGGAAGCACCTCCCTGTCCAACAGGAGCAGCAGGTGTGTTTGCTTCTTCCTTTTCCGTCACACACGTCATTCCTGAGCCATTTGAAAAACAGGAGCTTGTTAGGATTTTGTTGCTACACAATAGTAAAGAAGAAGTCAGTTGGAAGAAATAGTATTAAGCTCTTGAAGCATCATATCAGTACTTTACTTACACAAAAGTTATTGTCTTATGTAGTTCTTGTATTGAAAATATATATACATATATATATGATCAAATTCTTTTCCTGAAGGATGCCTTGTGAAATTGTTTGCTTCCCAATGCCTTCTGTGATGAAAAGTTCTTTGTCTTATAATACTTTCATTCATGGAGTGCATTGAATTAGTATCTCATTAGATTGGTGGTTTATTAAATAAACATGTTGAAGCTCCTTGTGGAAATAGGGTGCAACATTTCAGACAGTAGGCTTAATGTGAAATTGCTTTGATTGAGATACTTCTTGATACCAGTGCATGAAATAGGCCACTTGGAAGGAATTCTAAGATGAAAGGTGTAGATCAGAAATGCCAGAATAATGATACCATTTGTATCATTATGATTATCAGAACTGCCAGGATTTTGTCCTTTGGGTTAATTGTGACAGAATTTCTGTACTCATCAATAGAAGATTCTTCCTGCCATGTAAAGAAAACTAATAATTTTTTTGTGGCAGAACCATGGTTATTACCAAGTCCCTGGGCAGTGCAAGGATAGTGCTCACAGAATCATGCACTTCCTGGGACAGAGAAGGGCCCTCACAGTCACTGGCAGGCAACAAGTTACCTTGGTAATAATGGGCAGGATTTGGCAAAGTGGTGAGCCGAGAGGAGGGCATTGCGTAAGGAGAAATAATATGCACTAAGACATGGAGGGCATTCATTTTGGGAACAGAGCTGAGAGTGCGCTGACTGGAATAAAGAGTTTCTATTCCCAGCAAAGAGTAGTGGGAGTAGGTAGCTGGAAAGGTAGGATGGGGGCCAATCAAAGGCGAAATTCCTTACATTGATTTTGTACACATTAAGAAAGGCCATATATCAATTTTGAGGATCATTTTCAATCATACTGTTATAGGACAGGGAGAGGGGCAGCCCAAACCCCGCAGGGCCACCCTGTTACAATACAAGTTTAGAACCAAATCCAAACTGCAACCTCTTATCGACTGGGTGACCCCAAATTAGGTATTTAACCTGGCCAAACCCTTAGTTTATTCATCTGTAAAATAGAGCTGATAAGATCTTCCTTGAGAGGTTGTGCAAATTAGATGGGGTCCTGTATGAGGAGCCCCAGAAAAGTGACCAGTGAAAGAGTTTCTGAGGAAGGAAGTAAGGAAATAGAGGTGAGGTAATAGAAACTGATTTCTGGCGCCATAGGCAAAAGTGAGCAGAAACAGGGAACCCCATAGGTGATGGTTACCCTGATCACCCAGGATGAGAGGGCAGAAACTGTGAGGCTAGGAAGAAAGGACACGTCCATACATGTTTTCTCTGCAATTTCTTTTCTGTTGTGGACATTTGTTTAATTTGAGGGCTGTGTGACCTGTGGTGTGAAAAATACAATACTGATAGACGCTTCCTTTTGTCTTGAACAGGATGCCAGCGATCCATAGGCCTTTCTAACGGGAAAGCGAAGGTATGCAATTACAGTGGCTGGTACTACTGCAGCAGCTGCCATGTGGACGACAGTTTCCTCATCCCAGCACGCATAATCCACAACTGGGACACCTCAAAATATAAGGTAGGTCAAAAACTGATTCACTTCATAGTAGCCATCTTGGTCTTCATATGTTGTCACGGGTGTTATAAAGACAATGATACAAGAGTTTGGAGCAAACTCATAAAATCTAAGATCTTATCTAATGCTTCTTAAATAGCTCACAGTTTAAAGGCTTCTTTTTTTTTTTTTTTTTTTAGGCATGTATTATTTATTTATTTGTTTGTTTGTTTGTTTATACAAGCACTGGGTACAGTCAGAAGCGCGGGAGGGTGAGAGAATTCACCAGAGCCAGAGCAGGGAGCTGAGCAGGCAGAAGGACCGAAGTACACTGCTGAGGGGAGCAGCGGGCAGCAGGAGAGGTCTGCGCGCCATGTGGGACCCTCCTCCTGTGGCCGGGGAGCAGCCGGGGATCGAACCGGCGCCGCAGAGGCCGCGGGCAGCTTCGCAACCCAGCGCTCAACCGCTGCGCCACCGGGGAGGCCCGAGGCTTCTTTATTATAATTCTTATTTCCTCATTTGAAAAAATACAGATCAGATTTTATATCTGGACCTTGGTAACTAACTATAGGTGCTGAAAGAGAATTCTGACATAGAAAGTGGCCTTATTTGTTATTTTTTGTTCTTATCTCCAATATCACAATACTGTGGGGTAACAAAAAAAAAAAGTCATGTTGGCTTGAGCATGCCAGTAATCTTTGAAGGGAGGGAATAATCCAAGGTACTTCTTAGAGTAGAGTATAGCACTCCTCCTACGAAGCTCAGCCTCTGGTAAATCCAGTGCCCTGGAACTGGAACCTGAAGAGAAGCTTCAAGTGACAGAAGTGAGGACTCCTGAGTGGGGCACCATGCCAAGGAACAGTGTGGGGAACCACCCTTGGGCCTAACCAGGACTGTGACCTCTTTTTAAAGGGGAAGAAGTGAGAAATACAGGTTAACAGCTTTGCAAAGTAACTGCTGTTATCCAAGGAGTATATACATGAAGTACAGAGACAAAAATACAAAAATTTTGATAACTATCAAAATGTAAATCAGCGGATTTGAAGAGGAAGACAGTGTTGGGGCACTCCAGCTTAAGCAGATGTAGAAAGGAGGAACCATTCGCATAGGAAGCCAAGAAGGAGCGAGCAGTGAGGTAGAAGGATCCCATGAAGAAGGTGTTTCCAGTGCCGTTGTGACAGAAATTGATAGATCAAACACGATGAGCCTTGAGAACTGACCGAGGCATTTAGTAATGTGGAGGTAGTGAATGACCTTTATGAGAGCAGTTGGAATTGAGTGGTGGGAGGGAAGGTCTAATTGGAGTGAATTTGACTTACATAGGAAGAGAGAAATCAGAACAAGAATAGACAACTCTTTTGAGAAGTTTTTCTATAAGGGGATGCTAGGAGATGGAGAGTAACTGGACAGGATGTGGGGAATCAAGTTAAATTTGATGTTCTTGTTTGACAGAAATAAGTGTGTTTTCTATACTGACACAAACTAGGAGAGAGAATTAATAGAACAATGAGGTTGATTAAGTGAGAAGGATGGAGTCACATAGACATTAGGAGAGGTTGGCTTTTGCTAGGAGCAGGGAATAAAAGGAAAAACAGCCTGTGGACACAGGGGCCAGTGGGTAGGTAGATGTGATGTTGGGAGCTTGTGAATGTTCTCTTCCATTTACTTCAGTGGCTTTTGGCTAATTCTTTTATTTATGTGCCCGTGATCCAAAGGGATTAAACACCTAGCCTTGGTCACTGTGGGAAGTGTCTTGATAGACAAGTAGGGATGATAAGGCAATACTTCTATCAACTCACCTACAAACTCACCTAAATCCACATCCATCTTCATTGTTTTCCTTCCAGTCACAGAAGAAACATCACTCCTCTAACGAAAGGTTTAGTCTTCCTACTTCTGCTCATAATCTTAACTCTTCTGTTAAGGTTTTTGCCAAATCCAGTTGGTACTGGTCAGTTTCTTATTTTACTGGAATTCTCAGGGACACAGAAATAAAAGAATTCTCATGGGCACAGAAATAAAACAGTGAGCCAGAAGCAACTGAGGTAAATGGAAAAGAACATTCACAAGCTCCCAACATTACATCTACCTACCCACTGGCCCCTGTGTCCACAGGCTGTTTTTCCTTTTATTCCCTGCTCCAAGTATTTGAGGAGGAATTCTTTTGCCTTGATTTTGATGACACCCCTGGTTCTCTTCCTATTTCTGACTCTTCTGACCCTTTCAAGCTTTCTGATTCCTTGTTCTCTGCCTGCACCTCTAATCTTACGATTCCTATGGTTCACTCTTTTTTCCCATGTTATATTCTTTCTTCTGCATTATCTTCTTGCCTTCTGTGGTTTTAACTACCAGGATCATATGCTGATGATTCCCACTTTTATCTTCAGCTCCAGTTTTACTACTGCAAGTGAGATCTGTGGGCATCTTAACTTTGGTTTTTAACTTACTAACCTTCAAGACATGAATCGCTCACCACACTATACAGCATTTCCACCCTTGCATAAACAAGGTGGTAGAATTTGACAAGTGGAGGAATCTAACCCCTCACCAGAATGGTCCTCGAGGCTTAAGATTTTTGTATGGTCTGTGTCCTGTGTCTGTTACCTGAACTGACTAGCAGCTTTTCTGATTCTGTTGCCAGACTCTTGTCACATCTGCTTTGAATGAACCTTCCATGCAGGCTGAATAAACACACTGTTTTTATATCTCCTTTCTAATAAATTTCTGAGACTTGATTTCATGGTAATTGTATCACCTAGAGCAAGGTGAGTAGGTAAGGAAGGGGCCTATAGCTGTTCACCAGCCTATAACCTTTGAAGTACAAAATAAACATAAAAATTCTGAATGGCCAGTTAGCTTCTATTCTTTTCTGTATTGTTGAGCAACTCTATCTTCTCTTCTATCCAAAACACATCCACATTTTCACTGTCTTCCAAGTCAGTCACCCCCTATGAGCTTGCCTCCTACTTCAAGAAGAAAATTAAAGCTACAAGCCTATCTGTACTTGTACCTGTTCCCTCCTACTTGGGGAGGAAGAAGAGTTCTTTCTCTTAGAGTCATCCTTCCACTTGCCTTCCAGATATTTTTGTGCCTCTGGGAAATCCTTGCTTATTTTTCCAGAGCTGATAAAAGCACGTCCACCTTGGTGAACCTCTAACGACCCCACCCTTCTGCACTTACTACATTGCTGCCTCTCTCCTTCATGTCACCACTGTGTTCTGCATGGGGCTCAAGAACTTCCCTTATTTAGGGGTTAATAGCAGGATCTTGGAGTTAAGCAGGCATTTGTCCAAACCCTACTTCTCCCTCTTAGTTAGTACTTGATTTGTTGGGACCAATTACTTGGACATCACTGAACCTCAGTTTCATGATCTGTAAAATGAAGCTAGACTGTCTAGGCTCAAGTATTATCTTTGTGATTTGTTAGCTCATGACCTGAGTGAGTTATCTAGTCTGTGCTTCAGTTTCATCTGTAAAATGTGGACAATACTTCCTAGGGTTACTTACGATTTCATGCATGTGGAGCATTTAGAACAGTGCCTAGCATTTAGTGGGTGCCAAGTAAGCATTCATTCTTACCTAAAAGACTTGTGAATTGAGATATGAGGAAAGCACTCTGCAAGTGACTGTGATAAGCACTTAAACAATGGAAATTTTTTTTTATTATTTTCATTACCATCACATTCATGTGACAGCTAGTTGCTCTCCCTTCTCTCTGAAGGCAAGCTCCCTGGACACAGGGAACTTAGCACAGTTCCTGGCACGTAATTAAGCAGCAGGAATGTTCAGTGAATGAATGGACAAATGAAGCATGACCTGTGGGTGCCTCAAACTCAGTAGTCCCAAACTGGCTTCATCTCCTTTACCAGATGTCCCCCCAACCCCCACCACCACCCTGGAGTGCACACGACCCCACCCATCTCCAGTGCAGCGCTGGGAGACATCGTGGGCTCCTCCCTCCGCCACACCTGCTCCGCCTAATCAGCAAAACTCAGCCTGAATGTCAGTTCTTGAGGCCGTGCTCTGCACCGCACCCACATCCACCACACTAACCATCTCAAACATCATTCACATGAAGGAATTCAGTAGGTTGACCTTGTTTCCTGCCTTCAAGGCTCACCCCAACAGAATTTCCAAAAAGACCTAATTTGCCTCAACAGTAGTTCCCAACAGTCCTAATCTCACCTCAGGTGAATTTTTTCCCCTCTCTTAGTCCTGGTTTCCTCATCTTCAGAATAGGGAAGTAAAAGTACCTATTTGTAAGGTTGCTGTTTGCTTAAATGAATGATTGACAGAAAGCACCTACAAAAGTACATATAAAATAAATGCTGTGTTAACTCCAGCTTTTTCTGTGGTTGTTAAAAGCAGATACAACCATCTTAACCTGCCAGGAAATTTTTTGTGATCTCTAGTGACTGCCTTTTTATCACTCCTCATCTACCTGCCTGCCCCAGAAGTCCTCCACTAGACCCACGCTCCTTCCTGTTCTCAGTCCTGCCATGCAATTTCATGCCTCTTATTTTCCTTTGCCCTCATTCAATTCAGCAAATCCTCAACCCAGCGTCAACCTCACTTCCTCTCCTGGCTCTTCCCCTCTATCAGACACAGTTATCATCCTCTCCTCTGCATCTTGTACTTGACACTCTGAATATAGGCTATAAATATTTTTGCCACGTTTATGCTAGATAAAAACATATTTAGAGGAAAAGAACACTTGTTGAGTTTGCTGTAGACAGTGTGGAGCAGGCCTCTGACAGCCGGGAGAGGTGTGGAGAGAGTAGGTGAGCCAGGCAGTCCCAGCTGCATCAGTGAGAGCTTAGTCTGGGGGCACCTGCCAGAAGAATACACACCAGTCTGTGGAGCTAAAGCAGAAAAGATGGTACTGAGTGAGGAAAATGAAAAAAAAAAAAAAAAAAAAAAGCATGGTTTATCCAGGTGGGAAATGGAGGAGGGGATCTGGGTCTGTTTGCAGTGAGCAATAAAGACCACCAAAACCATCAGGCTCGCCATCGCTGGCACTTGCA